GACGGGTATTTTAATTGTCCAGAGCCTAACGATCTGTGTCATGAGATGCATAGGTTAACTGCTGTGGCACCCAGCAGTGGTTCCAGTTGTTATATTGTTCCATGTTCCAATGGTTCCAGTTGTTACAATGTTCCATGTTCTAATGGTTCCAGTTGTTACAATGTTCCATGTTCCAATAGTTCAAGTTGTTACATGGTTCCATGTTCCAATGGTTCCATTGCTACAATGTTCAATGTTCCAATGGTTCCTGTTGTTACAATGTTCCATGTTCTAATGGTTCCAGTTGTTACAATGTTCCATGTTCCAATAGTTCAAGTTGTTACATGGTTCCATGTTCCAATGGTTCCATTGCTACAATGTTCAATGTTCCAATGGTTCCAGTTGTTACAATGTTCCATGTTCCAATGGTTCAAGTTGTTACAATGTTCCATGTTCCAATGGTTCCATTGCTACAATGTTCCATGTTCAAATGGTTCCAGTTGTTGCAATGTTCCATGTTCCAATAGCTCCAGTTGTTACATGGTTCCATGTTCCAATAGTTCCAGTTGTTACAATGTTCCATGTTCCAATGGTTCCAGTTGTTACAATGTTCCATGTTCCAATGGTTCCAGTTGTTACAATGTTCCATGTTCCAATGGTTCCAGTTGTTACATGGTTCCATGTTCCAATGGTTCCAGTTCCATGTTCCAATGGTTCCAATTGTTACAATGCGTTGACACCGGCTTATAGACACAACTCTGCGTGCACGTCACTGCCTGGGGGAATATCTGTGTCAGAAATGATTACAATCACACCAGACATGATTGCCGATGCTACACGGCATAGAATTGTCAGGGACACCAATAATAACGAAAACACAAAAGTTGGAGACGTTTAAATAGACTGAACAAATTAATTGTAAAGATCCATTGTCACGCCTTTAGGCACATCGGGCATATGGGAAGAGCACCCATATTTTTACAGACCATTCGACACTAGGTAGGTAATGTTGGCCAAGTTAATGTTATAAATATAAGCAGCTCATTTTATGATTTAACTAGATTAAATTTTTCAGACCCAGGATTGGTTCCAGAGGCTACACAGGTTTTTAAGTTCAGTTTCGGTTGCCATACCCCTCCCCCCTCCCCCCGCACACATACGCACACATACACACACACGCACACATACACGAACAAACATATCCCAAAACAAATGCAAGCACGCAGGCACGCGCGCACTTACACATACGTAGCCACACAAATATACATACTAGCTCCCTCACTGAGTGCTGTGGCGAACAATTTTATAACAATATTGAATAAAAGCTACGAAACTTGCTGCAAACAATTTGCAATTTGCACTTCCATGTTGACGTTGGTCGTGTCGGTAATTCCATAATGCATCGGCTACAGCCGTGCCTGCGATCACGTCCCGTTGACAGCTGCACTCACCCAGCGGGCCGTCCTTGTGTAAACACAACTGGCAGATATCGAATTGTTCAAAGATCGCCCGTGGCTGGGATTCCGCAGACTTCATGAAAGTGAGCACACGAAAGCACGCCTCGGGTCTCAATGACGAGATACTGTAGCTAATTTCTGTTGTTTTTTTTTTTTTCGACCTGACTTGATTACTGATACAAACTTCATCTGACTTGATTACTGATACAAACTTCATTACAAGTAAGTATTCGGATCGGATTGTGTCCGTGTGTTTGATCTGGAAGTGTTTCAGCTCGACGATTTCCTGAATATTTGGTGTCAGTGATTTTCTTTCTCTCACTGTACAGTTGTGATCTTGTTTTCATTGCTTATGCGGAAATAAAAAGGTTTTCAGTCGATGGATACATTTCATTGATTGCACTCGGACATCTCTGTTAGGCGTCAGTCTTCACACACCGACCACTCAGCCTTTTGTGAAGAGGCTTTCCACCCTCTGACGTGTCCACACAACGAGCTGCTGGATGGGCTCAACTGCGTTTAAGCCGTCGAGGGTGATCCTTTAAGTTCGTAGCTGGTACAGGAGTCTTCGAAAGTTGTCTCTCATTGTTCGAGAGAGCTGGACGTGCCAAGTACCGATCAGTCTCTATACACGAGTCCAGCCAGATAGGCAGGATGCGACTCTAGAGTAAAAGATGTTTACATTGTTTATGGGAACTGAACGAACGCACACACGAACGAACATCTAAACAAACGAACAAGCTAACGAACGAAAATGCAAACGAGCAAACAAATGAACAAATAAAGGAACGAACTTTCAAATGGTCACAGATTGGACACCTAGGCTAGTCTTAAATTCAACCCTTCCAGAAACTGACTAGGGGTCTGAAAGAAAACGTTACCTGTCTATGAATTCCTCCGCAGCCGCGCGGTACAGTGACTAGCATACTTTTTTCTCGCCCAATCATCATTGACTGGAAATTGCGTCGAGTCTTGGATCTATCTCAGTATGACGACCAGAAACTATACATAAAAGTGAAGACTGCCTTAATATGGACCATGTTAGCTTCAAATGCTGAATTGTCTTTAAGAAAAATACAAAAACATAACTTGACTTCCAAACTATGAACCAAAGCGATAACTTTGTTATTAGTATTGACAATCTACAGAGTCTATTTTCTCCTCCTGGATTTGTCTTGAAAAGGGCTGCTGCCAAATTGTGTTGCTTACAGATAGGTTATGACATCTGCGCCTTTCAGCACACGTCTGAGTCCAGCAAAACATCAATTGGTAGCATTTTACGTCATGTTTAAGGAGCAAGGAGTCTATTCTCCCTCCCCGCCCGCCCCCTTTCCAACCCACCTTGGGCCCAGGAACCGGTAAGGGGAATACAGAGTTACTGAAACCGTGTCCTTCTTGAGAAGCTACCACACCTTCTGTGTTGTAGCTACCACACCTTCTGTGTTGTAGCTACCACACCTTCTGTGTTGTAGCTACCACACCTTCTGTGTTGTCTGCATTTTTTATGTCATAAATTATTTTGATTTCCCTTGATTTCATTAGCTTCCGCCATATGGTCTTCAATGTTTTACCGCCCAGTTTTTGTCATCGGCGCATATCTTAGATTTTATATTCCCTTATATCCCTCCCCCCTCCCCCACCTCCCTCTAACCTGAAGATTGGTGGTTTCAGCAGTATTCTCTTTTAAAGGAAAACGCTTAAGTATTTGGTAGTATTACAAGATAATAATTGTCTTACACAGCCAGGAGTTGTTTGTAAATTTCAGCGTTTTTGCGAGACATGGGGAGCTTCAGCCCCTGATATCTGTTGCCCTAACTCAAGTGGTACAGCGGCAGAAACTATGTTTGTTTGCACACCTAACCAATACCGCTGAGCTGTTTAAGTAGTACACTGTATACATGTATAAAATTGTGTAGATCATCTGTGACTCAAATGGTTTTGTTATCTGGTCAGAATGGAATAAAATCAGCCACCTAAAGCGTACTACAACAGACCAACAGGCTAAAGGCAAGTGGTCGACCAGGAAAGAAATGGGTGGCGGGAGTAAAAGAGACACTAGAAAAACACAGTATGACATTAACACAAAATACGCAACTACATTTAACTCATCTCTGCGATGATTTGCGGCTCAAGCAGTAGAATAGACGAAGAATACACACACACAATCACACAAACACACACACGCAGATAGATACATTAATATATATACATATATATGTTTTTTTTCACAAACACACAGACACCATGGTGTAGACAGACGGTTAGAAAGTCAATTAGACAGATACACTGGATTCAGTCTATCCATGTTCCAGTCTAAGACAGCTATACTCATCAATGTACAGACACACGGATAGACTTAAGACTGTATACCGACTGACAGATTGATTGACAGACAGAAAATTAAAGGACAAATAAATCAATCTGCCTACCGAAACTAACTGAGAGAGACCGAGAAAATCCTGATTTATCATGAGTACTGCAGTGAAACCTGAAGATGAGGTGGGATCAAACAGACTCAGCGCATGTTGCGTCTGTGCAACACTTAGACACATCAAGGTCATAAATTGTGGGTTTATAAATAGCTTATGTCTCCTGTCACCCGAATTCTCGCCCCTTGCATTAAGTCCATCTTCTTCCAATTTATATATATATATATATTTTTTTTAACACAGCTCCAATTGTTTGCGACATACTCTGCTTCTTATTATCTGTTATAATTTATAGCTTTCATTTTCAATCCGCCGGCTTCCTAGCGACACAAATAACATAGATTGTATACAAGAGATCTACACAGTTGCTATCCGTGTCATTACAGAGCTATACCCCGGCTCCCCTGCATGTGGTTACAGAGATGCCCCAGTTCCTAGGTGCCCAGTTTTCAGCAACGATTATTTGTTTTCTTTGCCGCTTCAGCGTCAGCGGTGTCCCAAGGAAATTTGCTGTCATTGATCGAGTGAAGTGCGGACGTGGCCAAAGCACTGTCATTACTTCAGTGTGTTTCAGCATTACAGACATTTTACAGTGCTGTTTGACAGAGCCAATCGAATGTTATTTGACAAGGGCAATCGACTGTAATTTGACAGAGCCAATCGAATGTTATTTGACCAGGGCAATTGACTGTAATTTGACGGTCCCTGGACGTGCTATTTTTCTAATAGCGTTTCTCTTTCTGTTTTTTCCCCTTTAGATTGAGAAAGTCTGAGTAATACCGGCCAGCTCAGGTACTGCTTGTGACCTTCATTGACCTCTGACGTACAGCAGCCTCTGGAAGGGACATCAATGCCAGACTGGTTTTTAGCAGATCTGATATTCGGGTCACGCGCTAACGTTTGGGGAGTTCTGACATCGACTGGGAAAGTCTAATTGTGTCTGGTTCGAGGTTAACTTGAGGCGGACACTGGGACGTACTTGAGGCTGAGGCTAGGAGCTTCTTGAGGCTGCAAGAGGATATAGACACACAGGAAATTGTGACTGTACTCTAAGTGTGTGGATAGCAGCAGACCGTGTAGTGCCTAGACGCGGTGCCATTGTTCCTTGACTCCTGGAGTTTTGATTTAGTTGGTCATGGCAGCATTTATAGCCAAGCAAGTTGTTGGAGATAAGCTATCCTCTGTAAAAG